CCATATATTATCAAATATGTCTAGTTATCAAAAAAAAAAAAAATCAAGACAGGTAAAGAAACAAGAAAATGTGGCCCATGGCATTCAGCAGAAAACGTCTCTGAGGGTGCTGAGATGTTAGTCTGATTTAACAAAGAATCCTAAGCAGTCATTATAAATAGGTTTAAAGAACAAAAGAAAATCATGTTTAAAGAATTACAAGAAAATATGATGACAATGAATTATCAGAGTCTCATAAAAATTGAAATTTTAGTCTCTCTAAAAACTGAAATTATAAAAAATAATCAAATAGAAATTGTAAAGTTGAAAAGTACAGTGACCGAAATGAGTATTTCACCAAAGTGATTCAACAGTAGATTTGAGATGGCAGCAAAAATAATCAGTAGACTTGAAAACAGATCAACAGAAATGATCTAATGTGAAGAACTGGTGGGAAGAAAATAAAGATGAATAAAGGTGATCAAATAGGATAAATATAGATTGATCCACACTTAGACACATTACAGTCAAACTGTTGAATGCCAAAGACAAAGAGGAAATTTTGAAATCAGCAAGAGAAATTTAACTAATCACATACAAAGGAAAAACAAAATTTACAGCTGACTTCTCCTAAGAAACAGAAAAAGCCAAAAGTCAGTGGGATACCATATTTAAAGTACTGAAAGAAAAAAACTAACAAACATGGATTCTGTATCCAGAAAAACAATCCTTCTTTAAAAAGTTAAATATAAACTTAACATACAACCCAGCAATTTCAGTTCTAGGAAATCACCCAAGAAAAAGGAAATGTGTCCATTCAAAGACTTATATGTGAATGTTCATAGAAACATTATTCATAGTAGCCCCAAACTAGAAACAATCTAAATGTCCATTAACTGGTAAATGTATACACAAAATGGAATACTATTCAGCAATAAAAGGAACAAACTATTGTTATATGCTATAAAAAGAATAAACCTCAAAAGCATTATGCTAAGTGAAAGAAGCCAGAGACAAAAGACTAGAAGATACTGTATGATCCCATTTATTTAAATTGCTCAGAAAAGGCAAACCTATAGGACAGTGGTTACCTGGGGTTAGGAATGAGACTGGAGCTTGTCTCCAAAAGAGCACAAATACTCTTTGAAACCACGGAAATGTCATAAACCTGGATTGTAACAATTGTGAGGAATCTATAAAGTTACTAAAGACTATTAATATTTACACTTAATGATGAGTGAATTTTACTTCAAATTAAACTTCAATAAAGTCAATAAAAATTAAACACTTAAAATTCATATGCTAAATATAAATTTTACTCAAAGAAGATCATCCTTATATAAAAAATGACTTTGACCTTTTAATCCAGAGTTCTAAGAAATCTTCAACCCAGCCATTTCTTTTCTTTTCTTTTCTTTTTTTTTTTTTTTTTTTTTTTGCGGTACGCGGGCCTCTCACTGTTGTGGCCTCTCCCGTTGCGGAGCGATGCGCAGGCTCAACGGCCATGGCTCACGGGCCGAGCCGCTCCGCGGCATGTGGGATCTTCCCGGACCGGAACACGAACCTGCATCCCCTGTATCGGCAGGCGGACTCTCAACCACTGCGCCACCAGGGAAGCCCAATTTGTACCTTTTGATCACCTCCATCCAATTACCCTACCCCCTGCCCCGACCGCTGGTAACCACAAATCTGATCTCTTTTTCTATGAGTTTGTTTGTTTGTTTGGTTAGTTTTGAAGTATAATTGACCTACAGCACTATGTTAGTTCCTGGAGCACAACATAGTGATTTGATATTTCTCTACATTATAAAATGATCACAGGTATGAAATATACAGTATGGGAAATACAGTGAATAGTAATATAATATCTTTGTATGGTGACAGATGGTAACTAGACTTATTATGGATCATTTTGCAATGTATAAAAATAACAATACTACAATTAAATAATTAATATACATGTATGTGACAACCTTCTCACTTTTAAATTATTTTTTAAAGTAGACCGACAGGAGGATAAACAGGCAGAGGCAAGGAGCCTTGTCTTGGGTTTGGATACAAAATTAAATATGTTACCACCACTGCTTTCAATATTTCACACTGAAACTTTCTGATTTTCTCTCCCTCAGGAGGGATACATTCTCAAACAATCCCAGTAATGGTATCCAGAGGCTTTTACAACTATAATGTGCAATTTTAAAAGGGTCAGAGATATGTCATTCTTTTATAAGATGAAAGAAAGAAGAATGTTAAAGGAAAGTTAGGAAAGAGACCTGGTAAATCAGAGAGAGAGATGCTCAGGCAGATTAACTTCAGAAGAAAGCTTACGGAAGTTGTAGATACAATAATTAATTTCCTTATAATGATCCATGATGACATATCCTCTAGAAAACCTTCTCGGACTCCAGGAATATGCATACTTCAGTTTAAAGATTACTGTATTTGAAGACTCTAGATATGAAGACTGGTGTCATTTTACTGAATATATATTTAGTTCAAATTGAGATTTTTTTTTTTCCATTCTCACCCTAGAGATGATGAGCTAAATGGTAGCAAATATTAAATTCATATTTTAAAATGTATAACTGTTACAAAAAGGATTACTTGAGAACTGCTGCGTAATACATTATAATACTAGTAACTACCCAATTTTGTTTATATCTATGACAATTTCTCAGCCTTGGCACTATGGAAATTTTAGCCAGAAAAGTCTTTGTTGTGAGGCACTGGCTTATGCATTGTAGAAGGTGCAGTAGCATCCCTGATCTCTACCCACTAGATGCCACTAGCAACCTACTCGCATTCTACCCCACCTTGCCCTGCCCAGATTTGACAACCAAAATATTCCCAGACATTGCCAAATGCCCCTGACAGGCAAAACCACCTCCAGATGAGACCCACTCAACTAGATTACCTTGCATAGTCCTTTCTGGGAGCACACGGAAAGTTGTTTTTTTTTGTTTTTGTTTATTATAATCTAATTTTGTCTCTTTTTTACTTCTAAATGTTTAACCCTATCTTCTCTGGAACCTCTGTAATAACTTGAATATTCTGTATTTCCATAGTGAAAGTTCTCTTTATTTCTGCAATTTGAACGAAAGTCCCAACTCCCCTAAGACCATACTTCTATAAGCCTCTTAAACTGAGCTTGCTTATTCAGTATTGGGAGATGGGACAAGCAAGCTCTTCACTTTTTCCTCCTGTTTTCACACCATTCTTTCTCTACCTCTTTTGTTTATAATAAAACAAAAACACTACTGCCTCGTGGTTCATGCCATTTGGCCATCACATTGGTTACAGCCTGCCATTTGCCTATGCCACCAATTCCCCATCCCCTTTATTGTCATCTATGACCTCACGTTTTCTTACCTTACAGCACATGAATCACAGGCTCTCTTTCGAGGCTGAGTTGTATCATCCATCCAATCTATCTTTCCCAATAAAGCCAAAATGATTCATGTAAAAATGTAGGTCTCTCCAGTCTTCTGCCTTAAATGCATCAACAACACTTCAATGACCTTAAGATAATATCCAGGCCTTCCCTGGTGGCGCAGTGGTTGCAAATCCGCCTGCCGATGCAGAGGACGCGGGTTCGTGCCCTGGTCCGGGAAGATCCCACATGCCGCGGAGCGGCTGGGCCCATGATCCATGGCCGTTGAGCCTGCGCATCCAGAGACTGTGCTCTGCAATGGGAGAGACCACAACAGTGAGAGACCTGCGTACCGCAAAAAAAAAAAAAAAAAAGATAAAATCCAAATCCCTTCATGTGGTATACAAATCCCTTCATAGTCTGGCCCACTCTTTATGTCTTCAGCCTGGATACTATTATCACACACACACACACACACACACACACACACACACCCCACACGTTGCTCAGCTCCAGGCATGCTGAAGTTCTTTCAGTTCCCTAAACATATTGTGTTCTTTCTTGCGTCTAGACTATTACCTGCAATGTTCCTCTCAGATGAATACTTCTTCCTCCCTCGTCATCATCTAGCTATTCCTATTCATCCTTTGAACTCACTTTCCTAGTTCCCCCCAGCCATCCCACCAACCCAAACCATGTGTCCCTCATAAGCACTTCCATATCCTCTAATATTTCTTCACAAACAAGTAAGGACTTATTTACTTCTCTTTACCACCATTAAAAGGTAGACGCTAGGAAAGGTGGGACTCTGTTTACCACTAAATTCCCAGAGCTTATAGAGAATCTATTGCATGAATTTGTTGAATGAATGAAAGGATGTTACTGTACTATTTATCATCTGAATAACTTATGGCAAGCTCATACTTCATTTAGATCAATTTGGAAGCCATCTGGCTAAATATT